CGGATGACGCACACTTTGGGTTTCTCATGTAAGAGGAGCCGTGACACTGACCGTCTGGGTCTCACTCAGCGCACCTGCAAGTCTAGTCTCCAGGTCCCTTCCTTCTGCTACGAATGACTCAAGTTTGTCCTCTATGCAATACTCCGTATTTCTCATTTATCTGTGGAATTTTTTTTTGGAAAATTTTTTGGGGATAAGATTTCTTCTTAATTCTCTAATTGAAGCAATTACAACCAGTACTATGCAATTTATTCTTTCCCTCACCTCCTCTGATGTAAAATAGACTGTAAGAAGATGAACTAATAATCAAACAAGTGTCAACTTGGAATAAACACAGTCATAAGGTATGTGACCCACCAGCTTTCTCCCCCAGGATTCTATTCCTGCTTCAAGGTATGTGTCTGTTCTGATAAATTTTTTAAAAATTATTTAAAAATTATCCAAGTAGTTAGCTATTGCATTTGAAATATATACTTTCTTTAATATTTCTATTTCCACAGAGATAATAGGAACTCAACTGTGCTATTTTGCAAACATCAGTACAAAACACTGGACAGAGATTATTTTTGCAAGAGGTTTCTAAGAGCCCTGCACTTATTCTGGGTCTAGGACTAATTGGAGTCTAGGGACAAGCTCCCATGAGGTAGTATTCACGGGCTGCCCACCTCTGTGGCACACAGAAGCTATGCAAGGACTTGATCTGGCCCAGAAGGTGGTGCTGAACCATCACAAATGGATCCAGACCCGACCCAGGTACAGAAGAGAACTGTGCCTTCTCCCTACAATGTCTGTGTGATGTCAGCTCAACTTCTCAAGATGACTAGGCTAACCATGCAAAGAGACCACACACACACACACACACACACACACACACACACACGAAGAAAGCCCCAATGTCCGTGGGGCAGTAGTCAACAGGAGGCTGAAGGCTGTTTAGCTACTTACGGAGAAGCGGCTGTTCTCTCTGCAGGACGTCAATTCTTGGCTATTTGTCCTCTCCTCACACTGCAGGTTTTGAACACAAACCATTGAAAAGCAGCAGCAGATAAGCTTAGATCGCATGGAAAGGGAGGGCGCCTCCAGCACTGAGTCATGGTGTAGGAAATGTGCTTCTTCAGCGTGTTGAAGAGGTCAGGAGTAAGAACTCATTGTCCCACTGCATAGACACTTATGTGAATGACTGGAGAGGTGGAAAAGGTGCAGAGACTTTGGAAGAGGGTCTCAGGGTCCTGGGTCTCCACGGGCCAGTGCCTGATGGGGACACATGAGGACTCACTGCTGTTTCCCTTGGGTCCTTCTGGGGACTCCACACAGGTCCATCTCAAAGTCAGGGGGATCACGTGCGAAAGGACTGTGCCTCCTAGGGCCCCCCACTGTGTCAACTCCTGGCACTGGGCTGCCCTTGCTGCTGCGCCTTCCTCCAGTACACTGCCCCCGGGGCAGACAGCTGTGCACCCCAGCCCAGCAGCCCAGCTTCCACGGTGGCCCTACTCCGGGCAGGGAGGAGCCCTGCTCCTCTTGTGCAGACAGGCATCTCGTTCAGCTCCTTGCATACCGCGCTGTAGACCAGAGTTGAAGGGCAATGAGAGGACAAGGGAGAGAGCAGTGGGAGACAGCAGCACGTCTGCACGCTGGAAGTAGGGCTGCTGTCTGACTCACACAAAAATATTTCTGTGAAGCTTCTTCAATCATAAGCCAGACTCAGGGCTTATGCACGGGAGGAAGCCGAGTGCGCTGGCACAGCGGCAGGACTGTGACTTGCCAGAGAGAAATAAAAGGGCACCACTGCTCATACTTGAAGCACCCACGTGGTTAAATTTCCATTTTTCTTCTTCCTACAATGAACCAAGTTCATCAGTATTGACTACTTGAGAACAGAAATGTGCATTTTAGCAGAAAATATTTGGCAATGACTTTATTAATACACTGTAGGCCATTTAGTTAAGATAGAGTATCTGATTAAATGTAGCTTGCTATTGAATTAAAATTACAATGTTTTAAAATTAGGTGTACACTGGTGTTATCAACAATCATTGATTGGGCCAGGGCTATAGCTGAGTGGCACAGCACCTGCCCAGCAAGCGTGAGGCCCTCAGTTCGATTCTTTTTTTTTTTTTTTTTTGGCAGAACCAGGGATTGAACTCAGGCCCTTGCATTTGCCAGGCAATTGAGTTCTATCCTTAACACCAAAAATAAAAAAAAGATTCTATGTTAATAATCACTGATTTCATATGATTTTGAACAAGGCAAAGTAGCATAAAAATCTAGTAGGATTGCAAAAGGCTGAATCATTGAGCTATACATTAATTTCTGACCTCAAGAAAGATACCGTTAGAACTAAGGTGTTTGTAATAAAAGCACAAGATTCCCCTTTGCCTTATTCCTAGGAATTTTATATTTTTAACATAAAAGATTACATCTTTCTACCATTGTTTCACTCAGAGTAGTTAAAAAAAAAGCTCTATGTTGAGGAGAAGAATTTATAATGCCAAGACCAGGAATTCAGGAGAGCGCTACAGCAGGATCAGAAGAAAAGCAGCCGGGTCCCCAGGGGCCTCCAGGGTCCCTGGCACCGCGAGGAGACAGAATTTTCCAGGTACTAGTGCTACCCAAAGCCTGTCCCCTCCGGCAGGCCCTGCGCACTGTACTGTCCTCCCTGTCCCAACGATAAGAGGGTCAGGTCAGAGGCAGCAGAGCACCTAGACCCTGTTCTCAGCAACAAGAGAAAACTTCGGCGGGTGTTGCCTGAAAGACATTGAACCTTACTGTGAACATGCGCCAAGGACATCCACTTACTCACGTCAGAAGCAAATATTTGTAAGACATTTGTGGTCAGATATGGGAGGATGTGGGTTTTCATTTGTCTTGAGAAGAAAAAATAAGGCGTTAAATATTGGACTTGGGACGACCTGTGAACATGGGATCCTAAAAATAATTTATGAGATTTTATTTAACACCTTAATATAGTTAAAAAAATTTTTGTTTTAGTTTATGAGCAACGAACAAAGGCTGAAAATACACGTGCCAAGAGGTGCAACCGCTGTCCTGGGGCGCTGCCTAAGGAGGCAAGCGGAGTGTAGAGACGCTCGTACTACAACCACTCACAGGGAGAATAAAACAAAGAAACTGAAGAAAGTAAAATTATGAATCTCAGGAGGGCAAATGGCTTACCGCATCTGGCTAAGGATGAAACACTCCTGAGCCCCACTGCGAAGCGCCCAAGGGGCGCCCGGGAGGAGCACGCGGGACTCGGGTGCCCAGAGCCTCCGCGCCTTAAAACTCCAAAATTAGCAGGGCAGGAATGAACTAGCAGTCGCTGTCAAGGGAATCAGACGTTCGTTCATCCACATCAGAATGACTGAGAGATCTGAGATAAGTGTTAGGAAAAGTGATTTCATTTGATAGAACTGGAAGCGCCAGAGGCGCCGGTCTCCCTCCCCGACCCCTGTTGGACTTTTAAACACTGCTCTTCTCTGGAGGTGCGCGCTTCAGAGGCTTGGCCCCAGCGAGGGAGCCGCTCCTGGCCGAGAGGCAGAGCGCACGCAGACCGCGGCTGCGTTCTCTGCCTTTGCAGATCTTCAGGCTTGGGGGAAGCGCGGCCTGGGCCAACGGCACCTCCGCGGACTTCGTCCTTCTGGGCGCTTCCCTGTTCGGGCACCCTGAGCTCTGGGCCTCGTCCTTCTCCTCGTCTACACCGCTGCCTTTGCGGGGGCGCCGTCCAGGCCCTCCTCCTCTGGACGCCCGCCCGACCGCACACGCGCACGCATCCTGCTCGGCAGGGCGGGCTCGCGGCGTAGACCCGGCCCACGTCCGCAGCACGGTGCCCAGGACGGCTGCCGACTACTTCGAGGGGAAGAGGAGCGTCTCGTACCCCGCCTGCGCCGCCCACGTTTTCCTGCCTCGCCCTCAGCCCGGCGAGCGCGTCCTGCTCACGCTCGTGGCCTACGACCCCTACCAGCGGCGGGCTGCAGCCCCCTGCGGTGCGCGGTGCTCGCGGCCGCGGGTCTGCCTGCGGAGGGCCGCCCTTGTCTGCACCGTCATCGGTGGCTCCAGGGAGATTAACCACTACTTGTGCGAGATGCCTGCCATCTGAGAATGTCATGCGTAGACACGTCGGCCTACGAGTCGGTGAAGTTCGTGTCCAGCCTCGCGTTTCTCCTGGTCCCGGTCACTCTCATCCTGGCCTCCTACGCGCTCATCTTCCTCACCGTCCTCTGCATAAACTGGCGAACGGGGAGGAGCAAAGCCCTGGCCGCGTGCTCCTCGCACCTGATGGTCGTGAGCCGCTACTTCGGCCAAGCCATCTTCGCCTACACCCGAGCAAGACCGGGTGGGAGCCGCGCTCGGCACCATCGTGACCCCCACTCTCAACCCCTCATCCACAGCCTGCCGAACAAGGACGTGGTGGGAGCCCTGAGGAGGTGGTGGGAAGGGGCTGCAGCCCCGACAACGGCCTGCTTCTGCAGTGCGGCGCTCGCACATGTTTTGTCTTCCGTTTTAAGAGTGTCCGTAATGAACGCAAGTCTTGCTGCGTCGGCCACACTGCAGCATGGGAGGGCAGGATTCATGCATGTTGGCACTTGGGGGAGAGGCACTGCTCTACCGCCACAGTGGTGACTTCCAGTGAGTTCAAACTTAATACTTGCCATTTATTAAAGAAATTACATGGATTCAGTCAGCAATATTGCTACAGAGATCAATGTTTTTCATCTCCGTTTTCAGCTTCTTTGGGTCGCGATGTCAAAAACTGATTTTCTTCCCAGAACCAAGGCCTTGATTGAAGTTTCTAATTTAAAAATCACTCTGTGGTCTGCTTTCATCCTATTCACTCTTAATGATGCCCACTCTCTGCACCGTCCAAAAGCTCTGAGAGGGCCGGCGAGATAGCTCAGCTGATTAAGTGCCTGCTTTCGCAAGCGCAGGGACCAGGGCTCATTCCTGCTCCCGCACACCGCACAGGCCCCGCCCCTGGGCCCGCTGAGACTGCAGCGGGATCCGGCATGGCGCCACAAGCCTATAATCCTAGTGCTGGGGAGGCTGAAGCAGGTGGGGCACGACGAGTCTCAGCTGCATAGTGAGCCTCTGTACCAAATACATAAAATGAAAAAAGAAAAAAGCTCCAAGATCGCTTGTTCCATGAAGCCTTACTACACAGTCTTCCGCTTCCCCAAACTCCTATTTATATAGATAAATTAATGCTATAATTTACAACAAATAATTTATGAAGTTGTATATTTCTCCTTTGAAATTAAGAAAATAGCCATATGTAAATATAAATCAAAGAGGCAAATTCAGGAAACTCTTTAAGGAATTACATGTAAATTATTTTTTCCCTTTTTTCTCCTAGATTTCACCTTTCTTCCTGTTTTGTGATACATTAATATCTATATTTGTCAAGATAATGTGAGAGTTTAACAACAATTTTGTTATCATATTCAGTGTGCTTTCTGAAGCTACACTAAGCTGCACTTTGCTAGGTCAGTGATGGCGAACCTTCTAGTGCTTGCAATGGTAACAAGCAGCCCGCCACAGCCTGTGTACCACAGGCTCACCTCCACTGCCCTATGTCTTTAAGTACAAGCAATGATAAAATATGACACCATAAAATTACAACTTAATTTTGAAGATCTCATTTCTATTTCCTTGTTATTGTTGACACCATTTGAACTTCATAATCATAGCTCACTAAAATAATTTCATATTGATAATTAAAACATTATTTGGAGCCTTTGTCGCTGGAGCCCACCATTGTGAGGTGCAGAACTGGACACGCCTTGCTCTGCTCCTGGGGTGCAGGTGCCTCTGCTGTGGCCTCTGTGGCTCGACGACCTGTGGTGTTGGCAGACACTGTCATGCTGCAAGCAGGGAAGCAGCTGAGGTGGGACCTGCATGTGCTAGGGAAGTGCGCTGGCACCAGGTCACACCCAGCCCTCTTTGTCGTCTGCACCACTTAAAATAATCACTTAAGTGCTAAAAACGACCATGGACTAGAGGTGCTGTACCCAGGAGCTGCTGTGGGATCCACGGACCAGAGGCGCTGTACCCAGGAGCTGCTGTGGGATCCATGGACCAGAGGTGCTGTACCCAGGAGCTGCTCTGGGATCTGTGGACCAGAGGTGCTATACCCAGGAACTGCCGTGGGACCCATGGACCAGAGGTGCTATACCCAGGAGCCACCGTGGGATCCGTGGACCAGAGGTGCTATACCCAGGAGCCGCCGTGGGATCCGTGGACTAGAGGTGCTGTACTCAGGAGCTGCTCTGACATCCTCACCCACAGGCAGAAAGGTGAGGTTGCACGAGGCTACTGGGAGTACCAAGAATCTCAGGACTGCAGCTTGCAGGGGTTAGTGGCTAAGTGAAACCTTGACTACCGGTAAACAGAAAGATGAGCAAAGGGAACAAGGCAGTCTGGCCCTGAAAGCCAGCAGCTTGGAGTGAAGAGGGTTGTGGTGACAAAGGGGCACAGCTGTCCCGTGACCACTGGTAAGTACTATAGTGGAGAATCAGCTCCTGCAGACAGGAGATCGGCTCAGATTGAAGACAACTGAATAGAGACAGCAGGCACAATTCCTGTCCTGGCCTTCAGACCCAGAGGATGTCAGAACAGGAAGCCACCTGAGAAGCACCTGCCTAGCTAGAGCTGGCAGAGATGGCCCTGGGCAGGAGCTGGTGTAAGCAGCTCCCTCTGTCTAGACATGGAAACCCCACATGCACTGTGGCCCTAAATTGTAACTGCTGCTGTGCAGCAGGGAGGAGCTGACCAGCCTCAGTGATGAGTGGGCTCTGGGCAGATGGTGACAGTGACACGGGAGAGTGGCCCCGGGCCCCCACGTGCAGGGCTCTGAAGTCTGGGCTGGGGGGGGCAACCTAGCACTGATGGAGCCGAGCACACAGTTTGAACACAATGGGGCAGACAATGAGTCAGTTGCAGCAGTGGGAGGGACCCAGAAAAGCAGCCTTAGGCACCTCGGTGGCACAGTCCCTGTGGGCCACCTCCCTATGGATCTGCCGGGAGCCCTCAGACTGAAGACTATGCAAAGCCACTGCCCGCCACACCCCCGAAGCATGCACTCCCACAGACCTTGCACACCTGCCTGTGGGCAGCACAAGTGGCAGACTCTGTGGGCTGTCCAGATCACTCCAGCCCAGCCACTTCTGGGCATCGAGGTCTTTAAGTGAGTTAATAATCCAATCACTGAAACATAGCCAGTACAATTAGACGAAAGAGAGAGACAACAGAAATAAAGACAGGAAAGGAAGAAGTTAACATTTGTGGATGACTCAATTCTCTACATAGAACATACCAAAACCTCCACCAAAACACTTCTAGATTTAATAACTGAATTCAGTAGTGTAACTGGCTACAAAGTTAACTCTCAGAAACCAACAGCCTTCCTGTACATGGGCAACAAATTCACCAAAAGAAAAGTTAGAGAAACCACACCCTTCACAATAACACCCCAAAGGATGAAATATCTAGAAGTCAATCTAACAAAGGAAGCTTAAAAAAATCTATACATTGAAAATTACAGTACTGTAAAATAGAAGATTGAAGAGGATCGGAAAATGGAAAGATACACCTCACCCCTGGATAGGAAGACCCAACATAAAGGAATGGCCATCATCCAGAACCGTTATGCAGATTTAATGCAATCCAGATCACAATACTTTTAGCACACCTCACAGAACTAGAGATGACATTCCTACAATTTATTTTGAACCAAAGGAGACCAAGAATAGCAAGAGCAATTCTGGTCAACAAAGGCAAGGCAGGGAGCATCACAATCCCTGACTTGAAATTATACTACAAAGCAACTGTGATAAAATCAGCAAGGTACTAGCAAAAGAGAAAAAGAAAGACCTGAAGACCAGTGAGTGGAACATGTGAGAAGATGCACACACAACTCCAAGCATACTCGGCCACTTTATCTTTGAAAAAGTACCCAAACATGTTCACTGGTAGAAAGTTAGCCTCTATAACATGTGGTGCTGGAAGAACTAGCTTTCCACATGCCAAAAACTAAAGTTAGTCTCATGCCTTGTAGGGATTTGTTGGTCACTCCATAGTCCCTGGGAAAAAAAACAGCAAGAGGGTTTAGAAGATAAAAACAAGAGATAATAGCTGAGGTCAGATGGTGGCCCATGCCTGACAGGCAAAGGACCCTATGACAACAGTAGGGGTGTCTATACCTTTGCAAAGTCACAACACAATTGTCTAGCGATGTGATGAGTGGGCTCTGGGCAGATGGTGACATAGTCCGCAAAGTCCAGGCAGGAGGTTTTTTCTCAACACTGAGGTAATGTGATTGACTGCTTTAGGCAATGAGGCCTCCTCCTGTCCTCACACACAGGACCAATTTCCAGCTTCAGTAACTCCCAACAAAGTCTATCACCAGTCACTAAAGTCAAAATGGATCAAATATCTCAATATCAAAATGGAACCACTAATTCTAATGCAAGAGAAAATAGGCAGAAATTTTAAAGACATAGGGTTAGGCCAAGATTTTCCAGGCTGTACAGAAAACAATTCAAAGAATATCTGGGATCTTATCTTAGTAAAAAGCTTTTGCACATCCAAAGAAATCATCAACAGAGTAAGAAGAAAATCCACAGTGCAGGAAAAAAATTAGCCAGCTGTCCTTCAGACAAAGGACTTGTATCTAGAATGTGTAAAGGATTGAAAAACTCAGATCTTCGCATTCAAAGACCAAATAAAAAAAAATGGGCATCTGAGATGAACACATACTTCTCAGATGAAGAAATACAAATGGCAAAAAAATATATGAAAAAATGTTAAACATCACGGTCATTTGAAAGTTGCAAATTAAAACACTAAGATTCCATCTCACCTCAGAAAGAATGGCTATAAACAAGAAGTCAACCAATAAAAATGCTGGTGAGGCTGTGGGGAAAAATGAACCCTTCTCCACTGTTGGTGGGAGTGTAGACTGGTACAACCACTGTGGAAATCAGTGTGGATATTTCTTAAAAAGCTAGAATTAGAAGTTCAATTCAACACAGCTCTTCCCCTTCTGGGTATCTTCCCAGAAGAATTAAAAAATACCACAGTGATATATGTTATATATGTGTACCCACATTTATAGCAGAACACTTTGTCATAGCTAAATCTTAGCAACAACCCAAATGTGAGGAATGGATAAAAAAGATGTGGTATTTTTACACATACAGTATTACTCAGCCACAAAGAAGGATAAATTTGAGACTTCAATACGCAAATGAATGTGAATTGAGGCCATACTCCTAAGTGATAAATCAGATTCACATGTGCAAACATTGTATTGTCTCCCTAGTGTGAGAAACTGCAAGATGAATAAGGTCTAAAATGAATAATAGATATTGCGAGATGGGAAGAAATTGTCCAAAGTGAAATGCTAACTAGGATGGAAGGGAAAAGGAACAAAGCCAGCCAGTTACACTGTTAGCATCTTTCAGTTCATTGAAAGGAAGGATTGTGCTAACATCAAGTGAAGAAAATGTTAATGCCCATATCTTGTACTCTGAATGGCTACTTGGAGACAACAATATGCAATTAGCTATTGTTATTCTTATGAAATTTTGTTTTAACCTTTTGCATAAAAAATTAATTCAACCACTGGATGATCTGACCAGGTTCCCAGCAACAGCTTCACTGGAATGGGGCTTGACCCCTGCTAACTCTAAATGGTCTGTCATGTTGGGTTTGACATGTTTTTAAACTAAGACTCACTGTGTAATTCAGGATAGTCTCGAACTCACTAAATAGCCCAGGCTGGCCCCAAACTCATGGGTGGTCTTCCTGCCTCAGCCTCCTGAGGGTTGGGACAAAGAGGTGCACCAGCACACCCAGCTAAAGTCGCTCCTGTTTGACTTGAGGCAGAAATTAATCTGTGTGCTTTAGACTCTAGTGAGTAAATATCATCACCTGGAGGAATTTTGAACTGGGTTTTTATTTTGTTTTTGTTGCTGCTGCTCTTATTGTTAGTGTTTCCTTGGCATTTCTTTTGGGAAGAACAAAGAAGGTTGGGTGTGATCCTAAGAGCGTGCACGTGATAGTCATTGCTTTTACTGCCACAGTGTCTTACCACGCCATCATGGTTCCACAGTGCCTTGCTACGTCACTTCCCCCTTGCTTGTTCCGCTCCCCAAGTAAGCATTTTCTTCCCATTTCCCAGTATCTTTTATATATTTTGGTCCTTATTTACACAATTCGCTTTTCATACCAGTGTGATATTTACACCTGTGACCATGCTATTGCACTGAAGAGTCTGGCCTCACGGTACATCCAGTTACCTAAAAATGTCTCAAGTTTATCCTTCTTTATAATTGAGTAGTACTCCATTGTGCAGAAAAAAATCACATCTTTTTTATCCATCCATTGGCTGATGGGCACTTGAGTTATCAAAGATTTAGCTACGTACTCCTACAAATATGGGTGTGCATACATCCCTGTGGTAGGACATGTTTTATTCTTCTGGGAAGATAACCCAGAAGAGGAATATCTGGGTCAGGTGGAGCCTCTAGCTTCAGGTCTTTGAGGAATCTGCACACTGATTTCCACAGTTGCTGCACCCGTCTGCACTCCCACCAGCAGTGGAGAAGGGTCCCTTTCCCCCACAGCCCGTCCAGCACTTGTTACTCAGTGATTTCTTGATGACAGCCATTCCCTCTGGAGTGAAATGGAACCTCAGCATTGCTTTAATTTGCGTCTCTTCAACGGCCAGGGGTGCTGAACATTTTTTCAAATATTTATTTGCCATTTATATTTCATCACCTGAGAAGCATGCGCTCATTTCAGAGGCCCATTGTTAGGTTGGGTCTTTATATTTGGGAGTTGGATTTTACCTCAGTTTTCTATACGTTCTGGATATAAGTCTTTTGTCTGAAGAACAACTGGCTAAATTTTTTCCACTCTGTGGGTTATCTCTTCACTCTGTTGATGGTTTTTCTGTGCAAAAGCTTTTTAACAAGATGATAGTTTGGTTTTGATCTTCTGTAATATTTCCCTTGTGCTTGAGTTTTGTTCATGAAGTCTCTGCCCACACCTAAGTCTTTAAGAGTTCTACCTATTCTCTCTTCCAGTACATTTAGTGTTTCTGTTTTAATATTTAGATCTTTTAGCTTAGTGCACGGTGAGAAGCACAGGTCTAGGCTTAACCTCCAGCATCTTTGAGGGTGTCAAAGATAAGTTGGCTGAGTGTGTTCAGAGCTGTTTTTGCATTTTATAATCTGCTCTATTGACCCTTGAGTCCAGTTTTGTTTAGTTCTGTGTTTGTTTTTAGGGGGCCAGCACCATACTGTTTTTATCACAGCAGATTTGAAGTATAGTTTCAAGCCAGTGATTGGGATGCTTCCTGCCTGGCCTCTGCTGCTCAGAGTTTCCTTTGGTATTCTAGGTCTCTTTTGGATTCACATAAGTTTTAGGAATGTTGTCTCTAATTCTATGAAGTATGCTATTTCTATTTGATCAAGATTACATTAAATCTGTATAACAATTTTGGGACTATAGATATTTCACTATGTTAGTTCTTCCTACCTAAAAGCAAGGGATATCTTTCCATTTTCTGATATTCTCTTTGATCTCCTTTTTCAGAGCACTTTAGTCTCCTCCTCCTCCTCCTCTTCCTCCTCGTATTTGGTTGTTGCAGGGTCTCACTGTGCAGTTCAGACTCATGATCCTCCTATTTTCAGCCTCCCCAGAATTAGGATTATGGGCATGCACCACTATGCCTGGACTCTGTGGCCAGCTCAGCCAACCCTCGGGGTGGGGCTGGTGCAGCATGTGGTGCCAAGGATCGAACCACAGTCCCTGCGCTTGCCTAAACAGGGGCTTTAGTCCACTGAGCTATCTCACCAGCCGCCCCCCCCCCAGTACTTCAGTTTTCAATGTAAAGATCTTTTCCTTCCTGACAGTAACCTTCTCTGCAGAAGGCGGACATCAGGTAGGTTCACTAGATCTTCCAGATTTGAGTAAAGTTGACACAAATGTATACTCCTTGCCTAGTCTCTCTCCAAACCTCCTATGTGCTCCATGAGGACAGTAGTTTGAGAAGGAGCCTAGTGTCTCCCGCTCTCAACTGGGGCTCCTGCTGCAGTATTTCTCTGTTGCTTCCTGGTGCTGATCTACACACACAGGCCTTTTCTGTATCACAACATCCTTCATCTGATACCACCCTGCCCTGCCCTGCTGGCCTGCTTTCTCTAGGAATATTCAGGACAACTGGTGCCAATAGAGGGGCTGTGTGCACTGCAAGCTAGCAGAGCTCAGGAATAGCATGAGTCGGGGGCCTGTTCAGGTGTTTAAGAGCCTGCTGAAACAAGGCAGTCAGGCTCAGGATGCTGTGGTTCGATCCCCTCATCCTCAAGCCAAACCAGACCTGCCCTGAAGGCATCCTGAGTGCCCCCACTCCCCGCAAAAAAAA